TGGAATTGGGGTTCAAGTTTTAATTTTAAATTTTAATGAAATATTTATGCTTGCAATTAGAATTTAAGATTAGAATTTCAATTTTGATTTCAAATTTATATATTGAATTTAGTATTTAATATTTGGTTTGGAAAGGTTTTCTTGGATTTTAATATTGGTGTTCAAATTTCTTTTTAGTTTTAGATTTGGGGTTTAGGTTTGGGGTTTAACTTGTGAATTTAATTACAACCTATTATTTTTTCTTCAATTTTGGGTTCACTACTAGCTGGCTCACGTACCCAAAATCTTAATACCATTTTGAGTTTGGAGCTTAGGTTTTGGGTTTGTAAATTTGGGGTTTGAATTTGGGTGTTAGGGTTAAGTTTTAGTTTTAGGTTGGTGTTTAGGTTTTAGGTTTGGGGTTTAGGTTTTGGTTTTAGGTCTTGGTTTTAGGTTTGGGGTTTAGGTTTTGGTTTTAAGTCTTGGTTTTAGGTTTGGGGTTTAGGTTTTGGTTTTAGGTTTGGGGTTTAGGTTTTTAGAAAAATAGAAATTTAGAATTTTTGTTTTGCAGCTAGCTAGCTAGCTAGTTAGCTACTTAGCTAGCTAGCCCTAAACCCTAAACCCTAAACCCTAAACCCTAAACCCTAAACCCTAAACCCTCAAGAAAGTGATAAATAGAAATTGCTTGTCCTTGTTTGTAACCACCGCTAAGGCCCAACATTTCGGCTTAATTAGCATAGCATGAGCCCGAGCCAGGAAATCCACCCAACAGCACGCACCAGAATCCACCCACTACCTGCGAGCGCCAGGAGCGCAGCATCTTGTACGGTGCGGGAGGCAGAAGCCACCTAACATCATCTCCACAAAAACGGCCACACGTGCTACAAACAAACAAACAAGCTTCATCACGTTCAGAGGGCTGAACACGCACAACCCCATGCACTGAGAGAATCACATGCCCTCGGCCAAACCAGTCCTCGGCAGCAGTTTCAGACGCACACGGATACACACGCCCACACACACACACACACACACACACACACACACACACTCCAGAATGATAGCTTCTGTATAGCCAGTTGCCGGCATCGCCGCCCGGCAAGACGAAACCTCACACCAAGCCCATAGAACTGCAACAGTCGCCAGCGTATACGCGGCAAGCCACTAGTCACTAGCCCCTCTTGCTCTCCCACTGTCCAGGTGCCAACCGAGCCAAGCACATCTTTGCGGTCAGACCGGTCCTGAGATCCAGCGAAACATCTAACAAGCTCCGAAAGGCTGCCTCTAGGAAATGCTTCAGTAGCACACGAGCACGCTCGCGCGACGAGCGGGTCCAACCTCAGTTTAACTTCTTGTGCACCATCGCTCCCATTGGCTTCCCCTCCCCTCCAGTGCGACCCTTCTCGGGAGCACGACTGGCCGAGCAACTCCCGTGCAGGGCCGCTTCCACCTCGAAGATGTCATGCACACCGCTGCAGGTCTCCGATACATCTACTTCGCTGTGGCAAAACACAGCAGCCGTCTCAGCAGTGCGCCGGTCGAAGCGTCGGCGGTCGGGCTTTGTGCGCTCCTCGACCGCCTTCTTAAACAAACGCGCACATGCTGGCAAGACAGATGACACACTCTACACGAGAGGCACAGCAACACGAAGGCACGGACCTCTCCCTGCACCTTACCAGTGCGTGCTGACACTGGCAGGGCTTGACTCGTAATACAGACACGTGCTAGTACGGAGACACACGCATGCAACGGAAATGATGCCAACCGGAAGACAAGAAGCATCACAGCCTAAGGACACCACCCGATCGCGCCAACGCTTCGGGGCCTGTACAGGATACTGCACAGGCCCCGCATTGCGGATCTAACAGCCTAACAGCTGCAGGTAAGAGAAACCGAAAGGTCTGCATCACATACATCCTGTGCATCTTAGACACAACACCCGTCGGTCAGATCCGTATCGGTATTCCCTCGACTCGTTGCTGCTATACTTCGGGCCTATCCCCATGTCTCGATGCTCATTGTGTGGCTCGCTCGAATTCGGACGACAAGTTAGAGGTACGGAAACACATGAATTTGTCAGGGTGAAACTCATAGCGGCCGTGAAGCATGTTCGTCGTACAATGCCGAACCGAGACTAGTTACGGCAAGCCGGGCCAATAATCATCCGCACAAGCGTCACGGACGAAGATCAAAGCTTCAACCCCCACATTCAAGAGGGTGTGTCTCCTCCTGCTTGAACGCTCGAGCAGTTGCATTGCTACGTCCAGGAGTCAATGTCCCCACTGTACTTTTGCACATCCTCTCTTCGGCTTAAAGGCAACCAGACAGTGAAGACATACCAACTCCAGCACTCCAGAACTGCCCCGAGCCCAGGACTCGGAAGCCGAGAGTTGCATCGACCTTCGCATCAGCACAGCTTAGGGTGCAGAGAGGAAGCCAACCGGACCCACAAAGTAGACATGTTAGTATTATCGTTTACGCGGGGAGACATCCGGAGGTCATGCTACTACCGCTACCTGAAACGGGCATCAGCCGACAGGTCAACTTCATACATTCCTGCCTTGGGCTTTGCGCGTGGATGGTGAAACGTAACCTCAACCTGTTCGGCAGGAGTATGAAAGAGAGGCATGTCCCGAGCCTTTAACACAAGGCCCCCACCGGTGTGCTGTCGCCGCCACCAGCCACAGCTTCGTTTGAACGTGAATATTAAGGGACACAATGTTGAAACGAAAGCGAGCAGTGTGAAATCACACCTGGAGCCAGTCCAGGTATACGGATACCTGGTTCTTGTGCAGGATGCGACACATGGCCAGAATTTCACTTTCCACGACGTCCGAGTACGCCACCTCCGGCGTCTCCACCCCATCCTCGCTGGAAATAGCGTCTGCAGCACTTTCTCACCTATGCGTGCTTCGCAGGCCTCGACATAGCACCGCCACTGGAGCTCCTCGTGTCATGGAAGTTCACAGGCGGAATGGTCAGCACGTCGGCCGTAAAATCTCTGGATGAAATGAGACCCAGACGAAGCTCACTGCGACGTGCTGGGGCGAGACCTCGATGACCACCGGGGTAGACAGTATGACGAGGCCTGTGCCCGCCAAGATGACTCGGTGGAATTCGAGTGCCGCTCGCTTTTTGCCGAAGGCTCCACCTGACGCAGCGATGCGGCGCTTGCTCCATGTTAGACTGATAGATGCACGTCTGCAAGCCGAGCTCCCCACTGCACCGCCTCCATTGTCCTCATCACGACGACACATCTCGCTGCAAACCCAGTAGATGTGTCGACCTCCTCTTCGCGGCGCTTCATGGCCTTATGCACTGCCGCGAGATCTGAGTACGAAGAGTAAGTGTACAGACGACAAACCATCTAAGGACCGAACACGCTTGCGGCACCTCACCTGATATTGCAGAATAAGGTTCACAAGCACACCCGCAGACACCAACGCTTGTGTGCAAACGAACACAGGGCCAGCCTGGTACCGCCACAGCAAGAAGACCAATGTCATCATCCAGATCATGGCACGAGACACAGAAAGCTGGAAACGGCAAGAACAGAGAGAGGAAAGGAGACAAGCAACCGTCCACATCACAAACCATGAAGAGGGGTAGCACTGAATCGCTAGAATCATGCGACTTCATATGACGGTTTAGCATCGTTAGAACGTATGTACTATCGAGTTGCGATCTAATAGGATTTGTGAGGGATCCTATACCATAACTCCATGGAGTGTCAATCGTCTACGATGCAACTGCCAAGTGGAAAGGTCGGACATGTGCATGCAAGTGCATGTGGTGGTGCTGTGAAATGTGTACGGTCGTTGCCCGCTTGCGTGAGACACTTAGCTCAAGCTCAGAAGAGAGACTACACACGTGAGCCGAAAGAAAAGCGAGTCGCATCGATGGACATCATGTGTACAAAATCATGATCAGTAGGCTGGCGGGTCTTGGCAGACGCATCGGACTGGATAAAACCATTTGTCAACGCAAGCGGACAAACCACAAAACTTGAAGTATCCCAGCTCCGGGACCTTGACCACAAAGCCACACAACTATCCCAACCGGGACCTTGACCACGAAGCCACACAAAACTTGAGGTGTCCCAACTTGATGCATCCTAACCCGGATCTTGACCACGAAGCTACAGAACCTGAGGTATCCCAACCGGATCTTGACTACGAAGCCACAAAACTTGCTTGTGGTGACGAAAAAGCCCAGTCAGAAAACTTGAGGTATCCCAATTGGTATCTTGATCACAAAGCCAGTAAACTTCAGGTATCCCAACCGGGATCTTGACCACGAAGCCAGAAAGCTTGAGGTACCCCAGCCGGGATCTTGACAAAACTGAGGTACCCCAACCGGGATCTTGACCGAGGATCTTGATTAGGACGCCGCAAAACTTGAGATATCATCCCAACCGGCATCTTGACCACGAAGCCACGATCCCAACCAGCATCTTGGCAACGAAGCCACAAAACTTGAGGTACCCCAACCAGCATCTTGAAAACGAAGCCAGAAAACTTGGGGTACGTATATGGGTCCGGAATTATTTGAGGAATTTTTTTTGTTTTCTTTGGGGATTTTTTTTTGTTTTTGGCTTTTGCTTGGGAAGGGGGGGGCAGGGAGTACTAGTACAAGTACTAGTACTGGTACTAGGGTGCGCCCCCGACGTTTGCCCACACTTTCGTGTGGCAAACTGTCGGGGGACACGGCCTGGTGCAGTTAATCGTTGTTTGCTGCTTCGGGAAACTAAGGTCACGGAACTGCTGAGTTCTGAAGATGGAAGTGGACGAAATGCTGGCAGGGTCAGCAAACGCGCTGGTTGCACTTTTGCTTTTTCACGGGAGATGGATGCCATGCGGGAACGGATGGAGTCTGAGTGGACGTTATCATGCTTGGCCCATTCGATGCTATGCGGGAACGGATGGAGTCTGGGTGGACGTTATCATGGTTGGCCCATTGGATGCTATGCGGGAACGGATGGAGTCTGAGTAGACGTTATCATGGTTGGCCCATTGGATGCTATGCGGGAACGGATGGAGTCTGAGTGGACGCTTTCATGGTTGGCCCATTGGATGCTATGCGGGAACGGATGGAGTCTGAGTGGACGTTATCATGGTTGGCCCATTGGATGCTATGCGGGAACGGATGGAGTCTCAGTGGACGTTATCATGGTTGGCCCATTGGATGCTATGCGGGAACGGATGGAGTCTGGGTGGACGATATCATGGTTGGCCAATCGGATGCTATGCGGGAACGGATGGAGTCTGAGTAGACGTTATCATGGTTGGCCCATTGGATGCTATGCGGGAACGGATGGAGTCTGAGTGGACGTTATCATGGTTGGCCCATTGGATGTTATGCGGGAACGGATGGAGTCTCAGTGGACGTTATCATGGTTGGCCCATTGGATGCTATGCGGGAACGGATGGAGTCTGCGTGGACGTTACCATGGTTGGCCCCTGGGCTGCTTGCAACGCGTGCGAGAACGCCTTGATGGTGGGAAGAAAAGCGGGAACCAACATCTGCAGACATGTGCAACCACTGCAAGACATGTGCAAGAAGGAGCGTGGAAGCTCAAGATGAAGAAGGGCAAGGACAAGGCCGGGAGGGTTTATCATCAACCAATATGGGTTTCCAAGTCGTGGGGTCTCAAGCTGCAGAAGCGCAACGACAAGGCCGGGAGGGTTTATCCTCAACTAGTATGGGTTTCGAGGCAAGGACAAGGCCGGGAGGGTTTATACTCAACCAGTATGGGTTTCCGAGGTGCGGAAGCTCACAAGTCGAAGAAGACAGAGGCAACGGCAAGGCCGGGAGAGCTTATCCTCAACCGATGTGGGTTTCCGGGGTGTGGAAGCTCCAGCCGAAGAAGACAGAGGCAGGGACAAGGCGGGAAGGCTTATCCTCAACCGGTATGGGGTTCCGAGGTGTGGGAGCTCAAGCCGAAGAAGACAGAGGCAAGGACAATCGAGGGTATGGAAGCTTGAGCCTCAACCAATGTGGGTTGCCGAGGTGTGTGGTCTCAGCGACAAGGCTGAGAGGGCTTATCCGGAGAGCTTTTCCTCAAACAAAACAGGAACCTGAAGGTATGCAGTTCAGGAGCTAGCCGACCTTCCCCCTCCCCCTCCCTCCCCCTCCCATGCCCTATTGACGGCCTCCCTTCCACAGTTGGCAGGGTGGCACGAATTCTCAGGGAAGGTAGTGGCAGAAATCAATGGGGTGCGGGGTCTTCCTCCCCTCAACTAAAATGGGGCGTTGGTTCCCGCCCCTCCCGCCCCCCTCCCCCACCCTCCCCCCCTCCCTCCCCCTCCCCACCCGGTGCCTCCTCCGGAGGGTGGCACGAGTCTCACGGGGGGTAGTGGGCAGACACCAAAAAACAATCCTCAACTAAAATGGGGTGTGGGGTTCCCCCCGCACCCTCCCCACCCTCCCCCCCCTCCCTCCCCCCCCACCCGGTGCCCCCTCCGGAGGGTCCCCCCCCTCCCTCCCCCCCTTCCCTCCCCCCTTCCCTCCCCCTCCCCCTCCATCCGCTCTCCCAACCCGCTCACTTAGACCGCAACCAGCGTGGAGTGCCAGGTGCGTATCCTCAAGAAGAAGAAGGCCGGGAGCGGGAGCGAAGCCGTGCAGGCTCGCCTGCATGGTGTCCCAGGTACGTGGTCCCAACCGCAAGAAGACCGAAGTGAGGAGGTGAGCGCTGATTATCCTCAACCAATGTGGGGTCCCAGGTGCGTGGTCTCAGTCGAAGAAGGCGGAGGCAGGGACGAGGCCGGAGCACTTATCCTCACCCAATATGGGGTCCCAGGTGCGTGGTCTCAGCCCGAAGAAGGCGACGAGGCCGGAGCGCTTATCCTCAACCAATATGTTCCAGGCGCGTGCTCGGAGGCGGGAGCGCTTATCCTCAACCAATATGGGGTCCCAGGTGCGTGCTCTCGCGGACCAGGCCGGCGCAATATGGGGTTCCAGGCGCGTGGTCTCAGCCCGAAGAAGGCGGAGGCGGGGACGAGGCCGGAGCTGGGGTCCCAGGTGCGTGCTCGGCAGGGACGAGGCCGGAGCGCTTATCCTCAACCAATAAGGGGTCCCAGGTGCGAAAGCGGAGGCGGGGACGAGGCCGGAGCGCTTATCCTCGACCGACGTGGAGTCCCAGGTACGCGATCTCGGCCCGAAGAAGGTGAAGGTGGGGACGAGGGCGGAGCACTTATCCTCAACCGATATGGGGTCCTAGGTGCGGGCCCTACCGCAGCGTGCATCAGTGCCAGGTGCTTGAAGCCAGAAGAAGGCGAGCTTCAAGAGGAGGCGACAACAAGCTCGAAGGACTTACTCTCAGAATACGTTCTCGGCGCGTGGTCTCAACCTGAAGAAGACAGAGGCGGCGACAAGGCCGGAGCGCCTATCCTCAACTGTCATGGGTTCCCAGGTTCGTGGTCTGGAGAGAACAGAAGCCGAGACCAGGCCGGAGTGCCTATCCTCAATCAATATGGGGTCACAGGTGCGCGGTCTCAACTTGAAGAGGATGGAGGCGGGAACCAGGCCGGAGCACTTCTCCTCAACCAAAACCGGGTCTGAGGTGCGTGGTCTCAACTCGAACAGGACGGAGGCGAGGAGAGTCCGGAGTGCCTATCCTCAACCAAGATAGGGTCCCAGGTGCATGGTTTCATCTTGGAGAAAAGAGAAAGGACGAGGCCTCAACCAATATGAGGTCCGAGGTGCGTGACCCCAGCAAAAAGCCGACGGAGGCAAGGACAAGGCCGGGGTTCGAAGTGCGTGGCCCCAGGAAGCTCAAGCTGAAGAAGACAGAGGCAAGAACGAGGCCGGGAGGGCTTATCCTCAACCAATATAAGTTTCCGAGGCGTGGAAGCTCAAGATGAAGAAGGGCAAGGACAAGGCCGGGAGGGTTTATCATCAACCAATATGGGTTTCCAAGACGTGGGGGCTCAAGCTGCAGAAGCGCAATGACAAGGCCGGGAGGGTTTATCCTCAACTAGTATGGGTTTCCGAGGTGTGGAAGCTCACAAGTCGAAGAAGACAGAGGCAAGGACAAGGCCGGGAGGGGTTATACTCAACCAGTATGGGTTTCCGAGGTGCGGAAGCTCACAAGTCGAAGAAGACAGAGGCAACGGCAAGGCCGGGAGAGCTTATCCTCAACCGATATGGGTTTCCGAGGTGCGGAAGCTCACAAGTCGAAGAAGACAGAGGCAACGGCAAGGCCGGGAGAGCTTATCCTCAACCGATGTGGGTTTCCGGGGTGTGGAAGCTCCAGCCGAAGAAGACAGAGGCAGGGACAAGGCGGGAAGGCTTATCCTCAACCGGTATGGGGTTCCGAGGTGTGGGAGCTCAAGAAGAAGACAGAGGCAAGGACAATCCAGGGTATGGAAGCTTGAGCATCAACCAATGTGGGTTGCCGAGGTGTGTGGTCTCAGCGACAAGGCTGAGAGGGCTTATCCGGAGAGCTTTTCCTCAAACAAAACAGGAACCTGAAGGTATGCAGTTCAGGAGCTAGCCGACCTTCCCCCCCCCCCTCCCTCCCCCTCCCATGCCCTATTGACGGCCTCCCTTCCAGAGGTGGCACGAATTCTGAGGGAAGGTAGTGGCAGAAATCAATGGGGTGCGGGGTCTCCCCCCCGCCCCCCCTCCCCCGCCCTCCCCCCCCCCTCCTGGGCCGGGAGGGTAGTGGGCAGACACCAAAAGACAATCCTCAACTAAAGTGCAGGCTCGCCTGCATGGTGTCCCAGGTACGTGGTCCCAACCCCAAGAAGACCGAAGTGAGGAGGTGAGCGCTGATTATCCTCAACCAATGTGGGGTCCCAGGTGCGTGGTCTCAGTCGAAGAAGGCGGAGGCAGGGACGAGGCCGGAGCACTTATCCTCAACCAATATGGGGTCCCAGGTGCGTGGTCTCAGCCCGAAGAAGGCGACGAGGCCGGAGCGCTTTTCCTCAACCAATATGTTCCAGGCGCGTGCTCGGAGGCGGGAGCGCTTATCCTCAACCAATATGGGGTCCCAGGTGCGTGCTCTCGCGGACAAGGCCGGCGCAATATGGGGTTCCAGGCGCGTGGTCTCAGCCCGAAGAAGGCGGAGGCGGGGACGAGGCCGGAGCTGGGGTCCCAGGTGCGTGCTCGGCAGGGACGAGGCCGGAGCGCTTATCCTCAACCAAGAAGGGGTCCCAGGTGCGAAAGCGGAGGCGGGGACGAGGCCGGAGCGCTTATCCTCGACCAACGTGGAGTCCCAGGTACGCGATCTCGGCCCGAAGAACCCTCCCCCTCCCCCTCCATCCGCTCTGCCCCTCCCACCCCCTTCCCACCGCCCTCCCCTCCCAACCCGCTCACTTAGACCGCAACCAGCGTGGAGTGCCAGGTGCGTATCCTCAAGAAGAAGAAGGCCGGGAGCGGGAACGAAGCCGTGCAGGCTCGCCTGCATGGTGTCCCAGGTACGTGGTCCCAACCCCAAGAAGACCGAAGTGAGGAGGTGAGCGCTGATTATCCTCAACCAATGTGGGGTCCCAGGTGCGTGGTCTCAGTCGAAGAAGGCGGAGGCAGGGACGAGGCCGGAGCACTTATCCTCACCCAATATGGGGTCCCAGGTGCGTGGTCTCAGCCCGAAGAAGGCGACGAGGCCGGAGCGCTTCGGAGGCGGGAGCCCTTATCCTCAACCAATATGGGGTCCCAGGTGCGTGCTCTCGCGGACCAGGCCGGCGCAATATGGGGTTCCAGGCGCGTGGTCTCAGCCCGAAGAAGGCGGAGGCGGGGACGAGGCCGGAGCTGGGGTCCCAGGTGCGTGCTCGGCAGGGACGAGGCCGGAGCGCTTATCCTCAACCAATAGGGGTCCCAGGTGCGAAAGCGGAGGCGGGGACGAGGCCGGAGCGCTTATCCTCGACCAACGTGGAGTCCCAGGTACGCGATCTCGGCCCGAAGAAGGTGAAGGTGGGGACGAGGGCGGAGCACTTATCCTCAACCGATATGGGGTCCTAGGTGCGTGCCCTACCGCAGCGTGCATCAGTGCCAGGTGCTTGAAGCCAGAAGAAGGCGAGCTTCAAGAGGAGGCGACAACAAGCTCGAAGGACTTACTCTCAGAATACGTTCTCGGCGCGTGGTCTCAACCTGAAGAAGACAGAGGCGGCGACAAGGCCGGATCGCCTATCCTCAACTGTCATGGGTTCCCAGGTTCGTGGTCTGGAGAGAACAGAAGCCGAGACCAGGCCGGAGTGCCTATCCTCAATCAATATGGGGTCCCAGGTGCGCGGTCTCAACTTGAAGAGGATGGAGGCGGGAACCAGGCCGGAGCACTTCTCCTCAACCAAAACCGGGTCTGAGGTGCGTGGTCTCAACTCGAACAGGACGGAGGCGAGGAGAGGCCGGAGTGCCTATCCTCAACCAAGATAGGGTCCCAGGTGCATGGTTTCATCTTGGAGAAAAGAGAAAGGACGAGGCCTCAACCAATATGAGGTCCGAGGTGCGTGACCCCAGCAAAAAGACGACGGAGGCAAGGACAAGGCCGGGGTTCGAAGTGCGTGGCCCCAGGAAGCTCAAGCTGAAGAAGACAGAGGCAAGAACGAGGCCGGGAGGGCTTATCCTCAACCAATATAAGTTTCCGAGGCGTGGAAGCTCAAGATGAAGAAGGGCAAGGACAAGGCCGGGAGGGTTTATCATCAACCAATATGGGTTTCCAAGACGTGGGGTCTCAAGCTGCAGAAGCGCAATGACAAGGCCGGGAGGGTTTATCCTCAACTAGTATGGGTTTCCGAGGTGTGGAAGCTCACAAGTCGAAGAAGACAGAGGCAAGGACAAGGCCGGGAGGGTTTATACTCAACCAGTATGGGTTTCCGAGGTGCGGAAGCTCACAAGTCGAAGAAGACAGAGGCAACGGCAAGGCCGGGAGAGCTTATCCTCAACCGATGTGGGTTTCCGAGGTGCGGAAGCTCACAAGTCGAAGAAGACAGAGGCAACGGCAAGGCCGGGAGAGCTTATCCTCAACCGATGTGGGTTTCCGGGGTGTGGAAGCTCCAGCCGAAGAAGACAGAGGCAGGGACAAGGCGGGAAGGCTTATCCTCAACCGGTATGGGGTTCCGAGGTGTGGGAGCTCAAGCCGAAGAAGACAGAGGCAAGGACAATCCAGGGTATGGAAGCTTGAGCCTCAACCAATGTGGGTTGCCGAGGTGTGTGGTCTCAGCGACAAGGCTGAGAGGGCTTATCCGGAGAGCTTTTCCTCAAACAAAACAGGAACCTGAAGGTATGCAGTTCAGGAGCTAGCCGACCTTCCCCCTCCCCCTCCCTCCCCCTCCCATGCCCTATTGACGGCCTCCCTTCCAGAGGTGGCAGGTGGCACGAATTCTCAGGGAAGGTAGTGGCAGAAATCAATGGGGTGCGGGGTCTCCCCCCCGCCCCCCCTCCCCCGCCCTCCCCCCCCCCCTCCTGGGCCGGGAGGGTAGTGGCAGACACCAAAAGACAATCCTCAACTAAAATGGGGCGTTGGTTCCCGCCCCTCCCCGCCCCCCTCCCCCACCCTCCCCCCCTCCCTCCCCCTCCCCACCCGGTGCCTCCTCCGGAGGGTGGCACGAGTCTCACGGGGGGTAGTGGGCAGACACCAAAAAACAATCCTCAACTAAAATGGGGCCCCGCACCCCTCCCCACCTCCCTCCCCCCCCACCCGGTGCCCCCTCCGGAGGGTCCCCCCCCTCCCTCCCCCCCTTCCCTCCCCCGCTCCCTTCCCTCCCCCTCGCTCTGCCCCTCCCACCCCCCTCCCAAACCCGCTCACTTAGACCGCAACCAGCGTGGAGTGCCAGGTGCGTATCCTCAAGAAGAAAAAGGCCGGGAGCGGGAACGAAGCCGTGCAGGCTCGCCTGCATGGTGTCCCAGGTACGTGGTCCCAACCCCAAGAAGACCGAAGTGAGGAGGTGAGCGCTGATTATCCTCAACCAATGTGGGGTCCCAGGTGCGTGGTCTCAGTCGAAGAAGGCGGAGGCGGGGACGAGGCCGGAGCACTTATCCTCACCCAATATGGGGTCCCAGGTGCGTGGTCTCAGCCCGAAGAAGGCGACGAGGCCGGAGCGCTTTTCCTCAACCAATATGTTCCAGGCGCGTGCTCGGAGGCGGGAGCGCTTATCCTCAACCAATATGGGGTCCCAGGTGCGTGCTCTCGCGGACCAGGCCGGCGCAATATGGGGTTCCAGGCGCGTGGTCTCAGCCCGAAGAAGGCGGAGGCGGGGACGAGGCCGGAGCTGGGGTCCCAGGTGCGTGCTCGGCAGGGACGAGGCCGGAGCGCTTATCCTCAACCAATAAGGGGTCCCAGGTGCGAAAGCGGAGGCGGGGACGAGGCCGGAGCGCTTATCCTCGACCAACGTGGAGTCCCAGGTACGCGATCTCGGCCCGAAGAAGGTGAAGGTGGGGACGAGGGCGGAGCACTTATCCTCAACCGATATGGGGTCCTAGGTGCGTGCCCTACCGCAGCGTGCATCAGTGCCAGGTGCTTGAAGCCAGAAGAAGGCGAGCTTCAAGAGGAGGCGACAACAAGCTCGAAGGACTTACTCTCAGAATACGTTCTCGGCGCGTGGTCTCAACCTGAAGAAGACAGAGGCGGCGACAAGGCCGGATCGCCTATCCTCAACTGTCATGGGTTCCCAGGTTCGTGGTCTGGAGAGAACAGAAGCCGAGACCAGGCCGGAGTGCCTATCCTCAATCAATATGGGGTCCCAGGTGCGCGGTCTCAACTTGAAGAGGATGGAGGCGGGAACCAGGCCGGAGCACTTCTCCTCAACCAAAACCGGGTCTGAGGTGCGTGGTCTCAACTCGAACAGGACGGAGGCGAGGAGAGGCCGGAGTGCCTATCCTCAACCAAGATAGGGTCCCAGGTGCATGGTTTCATCTTGGAGAAAAGAGAAAGGACGAGGCCTCAACCAATATGAGGTCCGAGGTGCGTGACCCCAGCAAAAAGACGACGGAGGCAAGGACAAGGCCGGGGTTCGAAGTGCGTGGCCCCAGGAAGCTCAAGCTGAAGAAGACAGAGGTAAGAACGAGGCCGGGAGGGCTTATCCTCAACCAATATAAGTTTCCGAGGCAAGGACAAGGCCGGGAGGGCCCATCCTCAACCAACATGGGGTTCCGAGGTGTGGAAGTTCAAGCTGAAGAAGACACAGGTAGGGACAAGGCCGGGGGGGGGCTCATCCTCAACCAGTATGGGTTTCCGAGGCGTGGAAGCTCAAGCTGAAGAAGGGCAAGGACAAGGCCGGGAGGGTGTATCATCAACCAATATGGGTTTCCAAGACGTGGGGTCTCAAGCTGCAGAAGCGCAACGACAAGGCCGGGAGGGTTTATCCTCAACTAGTACGGGTTTCCGAGGCGTGGAAGCTCACAAGTCGAAGAAGACAGAGGCAAGGATAAGGCCGGGAGGGTTTATACTCAACCGATGTGGGTTTCCGGGGTATGGAAGCTCCAGCCGAAGAAGACAGAGGCAGAGACAAGGCGGGAAGGCTTATCCTCAACCGGTATGGGGTTCCGAGGTGTGGAAGCTCAAGCCGAAGAAGACAGAGGCAAGGACAATCCAAGGTATGGAAGCTTGAGCCTCAACCAATGTGGTTGCCGAGGTGTGTGGTCTCAGCGACAAGGCCGAGAGAACAATCCTCAACTAAAATGGGGTGTGGGGTCTTCCCCCCGCCCCCCCTCCCCCTGAGCGCCCTCCCCCCTCCTCCTGGGGCGGGAGGGTAGTGGGCAGACACCAAAAAACAATCCTCAACTGAAATGGGTGTTGGTTCCCACCCCTCCCCGGCCCCCTCCCCCACCCTCCCCCCTTCCCTCCCCCTCCCCACCCGGTGCCTCCTCCGGGGGGGTGGCACGAGTCTCACGGGGGGTAGTGGGCAGACACCAAAAAACAACCCGCAACCAAGTGGGGTGTGGGTCCCCCGCACCCCTCCCCACCCTCCCCCCCCCCTCCCCCCCACCCGGTGCCCCCTCCGGAGGGTCCCCCCGCTCCCTCCCCCCCTTCCCTCCCTCCCCTTCCCTCCCCCGAACCCCGCACCGCAAGGCAGTGACCTCCCCACCCTCCTCCCCTCCAACCCGCTCACTTAGACCGCAACCAGCGTGGAGTGCCAGGTGCGTATCCTCAAGAAGAAAAAGGCCGGGAGCGGGAACGAAGCCGTGCAGGCTCGCCTGCATGGTGTCCCAGGTACGTGGTCCCAACCCCAAGAGACCGAAGTGAGGAGGTGAGCGCTGATTATCCTCAACCAATGTGGGGTTCCAGGTGCGTGGTCTCAGTCGAAGAAGGCGGAGGCAGGGACGAGGCCGGAGCACTCATCCTCAACCAATATGGGGTCCCAGGTGCGTGGTCTCAGCCCGAAGAAGGCGACGAGGCCGGAGCGCTTATCCTCAACCAATATGTTCCAGGCGCGTGCTCGGAGGCGGGAGCGCTTATCCTCAACCAATATGGGGTCCCAGGTGCGTGCTCTCGCGGACCAGGCCGGCGCAATATGGGGTTCCAGGCGCGTGGTCTCAGCCCGAAGAAGGCGGAGGCGGGGACGAGGCCGGAGCTGGGGTCCCAGGTGCGTGCTCGGCAGGGACGAGGCCGGAGCGCTTATCCTCAACCAATATGGGGTCCCAGGTGCGAAAGCGGAGGCGGGGACGAGGCCGGAGCGCTTATCCTCGACCAACGTGGAGTCCCAGGTACGCGATCTCGGCCCGAAGAAGGTGAAGGTGGGGACGAGGGCGGAGCACTTATCCTCAACCGATATGGGGTCCTAGGTGCGTGCCCTACCGCAGCGTGCATCAGTGCCAGGTGCTTGAAGCCAGAAGAAGGCGAGCTTCAAGAGGAGGCGACAACAGGCTCGAAGGACTTACTCTCAGAATACGTTCTCGGCGCGTGGTCTCAACCTGAAGAAGACGGAGGCGGCGACAAGGCCGGATCGCCTATCCTCAACTGTCATGGGTTCCCAGGTTCGTGGTCTGGAGAGAACAGAAGCCGAGACCAGGCCGGAGTGCCTATCCTCAAGCAATATGGGGTCCCAGGTGCGCGGTCTCAACTTGAAGAGGATGGAGGCGGGAACCAGGCCGGAGCACTTGTCCTCAACCAATATCGGGTCCGAGGTGCGTGGGCTCAACTCGAACAGGACGGAGGCGAGGAGAGGCCGGAGTACCTATGCAAGGACAAGGCTGGGAGGGCCCATCCTCAACCAACATGGGGGTCCGAGGTGCGGAAGTTCAATTGAACAAGCTTCTTGATAAACCAGTTTCTTTACAAACTTGTAACCACCGGTACGGCCCGCCAACTTTGAGCTGGAGCTCAAAAACGGAACAAGCTTCTTGGCCCCCATCCCTCCCAGCCCCCACCCCCCCCTCCCGGCCCCCCCCCACCCCCCACCCTCCTACCCGCCACCCCCCACACCTTCTTGGGGCGGGTAGAGGGGGGGAGGCACAACCCTATTCTTGACCTAAATGGGGTTGACTGGCCGCCCCCCCTCCCGGCCCCTCCCCTACCCCTCACCCTCCTACACGCCACCCCTGCACCCCCCCACCCCCCCCACCCCCACTCCTCCACTCAACATGTGCGTTCAACCTGTCAGGCGCTTATCCTCAAGCTGATGAAGCGGGCAAGCCTGCCCGACCCGCTTGGTTATCCTTAACCTGTATGAGGCCGCCAGGCAGCTATCCTCAAGCTGAATGAGGCGGGCAGGCCTGCGCAACCCACGCTTGTCCTCAAGCTGGCCACGCTTATCCGGTGCCAGGCGAAGAGGTGCAACCGCCACGCTTATCCTCAACCAGAATGGGGGCCAGGAAGAAGAGGCGCAGCCGCCACGCTTGTCCTCAACCAGAATAGGGGCCAGGGGGTGCAGTCGCCACGCTTATCCCGGTGCCAGGCGAAGAGGTGCAGCCGCCGCGCTTATCCTCAACCAGAATGGGGGCCAGGGGGGAAGAGGCGCAGCCGCCACGCTTATCCTCAACCAGAATAGGGGCCAGGGGGTACAGCCGCCACGCTTATCCGGTGCCAGGCGAAGAGGTGCAGCCGCCACGCTTATCCTCAACCAGAATGGGGGCCAGGGGGAAGAGGCGCAGCCGCCACGCTTATCCTCAACCAGAATAGGGGCCAGGGGGTACAGCCGCCACGCTTATCCGGTGCCAGGCGAAAGGTGCAGCCGCCACGCTTATCCTCAACCAGAATGGGGGCCAGGGGGAAGAGGCGCAGCCGCCACGCTTATCCTCAACCAGAATAGGGGCCAGGGGGTACAGCCGCCACGCTTATCCGGTGCCAGGCGAAGAGGTGCAGCCGCCACGCTTATCCTCAACCAGAATGGGGGCAGGGGGAAGAGGCGCAGCCGCCACGCTTATCCTCAACCAGAATAGGGGCCAGGGGGTACAGCCGCCACGCTTATCCGGTGCCAGGCGAAGAGGTGCAGCCGCCACGCTTATCCTCAACCAGAATGGGGGCCAGGGGGGAAGAGGCGCAGCCGCCACGCTTATCCTCAACCAGAATAGGGGCCAGGGGGCACAGCCGCCACGCTTATTCGGTGCCAGGAGAAGAAGTGCAGCCGCCACGCTTATCCTCAACCAGAATGGGGGCCAGGGGGACGAGGCGCAGCCGCCACGCTTATCCTCAACCAGAATAGGGGCCAGGGGGTACAGCCGCCACGCTTATCCGGTGCCAGGCGAAGAGGTGCAGCCGCCACGCTTATCCTCAACCAGAATGGGGGCCAGGGGGAAGAGGCGCAGCCGCCACGCTTATCCTCAACCAGAATAGGGGCCAGGGGGTACAGCCGCCACGCTTATCCGGTGCCAGGCGAAGAGGTGCAGCCGCCACGCTTATCCTCAACCAGAATGGGGGCCAGGGGGACGAGGCGCAGCCGCCACGCTTATCCTCAACCAGAATAGGGGCCAGGGGGTACAGCCGCCACGCTTATCCGGTGCCAGGCGAAGAGGTGCAGCCGCCACGCTTATCCTCAACCAGAATGGGGGCCAGGGGGAAGAGGCGCAGCCGCCACGCTTATCCTCAACCAGAATAGGGGCCAGGGGGTACAGCCGCCACGCTTATCCGGGTGCCAGGCGCACCAGAGGGGCCAGGGGGAAGAGGCGCAGCCGCCACGCTTATCCTCAACCAGAATAGGGGCCCAGGGGGTACAGCCGCCACGCTTATTCGGTGCCAGGCGAAGAGGTGCAGCCGCCACGCTTATCCTCAACCAGAATGGGGGCCAGGGGGAAGAGGCGCAGCCGCCACGCTTATCCGCAACCAGAATAGGGGGTACAGCCGCCACGCTTATCCGTTGCCAGGCGGAAAGGTGCAGCCGCCAGGCTTATCCTCAACCAGAATGGGGGCCAGGGGGACGAGGCGCAGCCGCCACGCTTATCCTCAACCAGAATAGGGGCCAGGGGGTACAGCCGCCACGCTTATCCGGTGCCAGGCGAAGAGGTGCAGCCGCCACGCTTATCCTCAACCAGAATGGGGGACAGGGGGAAAAGGCGCAGCCGCCACGCTTATCCTCAACCAGAATAGGGGCCAGGGGGTACAGCCGCCACGCTTATCCGGTGCCAGGCGAAGAGGTGCAGCCGCCACGCTTATCCTCAACCAGAATGGGGGCCAAGGGGAAGAGGCGCAGCCGCCACGCTTATCCTCAACCATAATAGGTTCCAGGGGGTACAGCCGCCACGCTTATCCGGTGCCAGGCGAAGAGGTGCAGCCGCCACGCTTATCCTCAACCAGAATTGCTGCTCCTCACCAGATAAGTGGCCAGGGGGTGCAGCCGCCACGCTTATCCGGTGCCAGGCGAAGAGGTGCAGCCGCCACGCTTATCCTCAACCAGAATGGGTGCCAGGGGGAAGAGGCACAGCCGCCACGCTTATCCTCAACCAGAATAGGGGCCAGGGGGTACAGCCGCCACGCTTATCCGGTGCCAGGCGAAGAGGTGCAGCCGCCACGCGTATCCTCAACCAGAATGGGGGACAGGGGGAAGAGGCGCAGCCGCCACGCTTATCCTCAACCAGAATAGGGGCCAGGGGGTACAGCCGCCACGCTTATCCGGTGCCAGGCGAAGAGGTGCAGCCGCCACGCTTATCCTCAACCAGAATGGGGGCCAGGGGGAAGAGGCGCAGCCGCCACGCTTATCCTCAACCAGAATAGGGGCCAGGGGGTACAGCCGCCACGCTTATCCGGTGCCAGGCGAAGAGGTGCAGCCGCCACGCTTATCCTCAACCAGAATGGGGGCCAGGGGGAAGAGGCGCAGCCGCCACGCTTATCCTCAACCAGAATAGGGGCCAGGGGATACAGCCGCCACGCTTATCGGGTGCCAGGCGAAGAGGTGCAGCCGCCACGCTTATCCTCCACCAGAATGGGGGCCAGGGGGAATAGGGGCCAGGGGGTACAGCCGCCACGCTTATCCGGTGCCAGGCGAAGAGGTGCAGCCGCCACGACGAGGCCGGGAGGGCTTATCCTCAACCAATATGGGTTTCCGAGGTGTGGAAGCTCGAGCTGAAGAAGACGGAGGCAAGGACGAGGCCGGGAGGGCTTATCCTCAACCAATATGGGTTTCCGAGGTGTGGAGGCTCGAGCTGAAGAAGACGGAGGCAAGGGCGAGCCCGGCAGGGCTTATCCTCAACCAATATGGGTTTCCGAGGTGTGGAAGCTCAAGCTGAAGAAGACGGAGGCAAGGACGAGGCCGGGAAAGCTTATCCTCAGCCAATATAGGTTTCGAGGGGCTTATCCTCAACCAATATGGGTTTCCGAGGTGTGGAAGCTCAAGCCGAAGAAGACAGAGGCAAGGACGAGGCCGGGAGGGCTTATCCTCAACCAATATGGGATTCCGAGGTGTGGAAGCTCAAGCTGAAGAAGACGGAGGCAAGGACGAGGCCGGGAGGGCTTATCCTCAACCAATTTGGGTTTCCGAGGTGTGGAAGCTCAAGCTGAAGAAGACAGCGTGCATCTTTGTTGCCAGGTGCTCGAAGCCAGAAAGCGCGGCAGTAGAAGGGGGTGAAGGCGAGGACGACCGAAATGCCCAAGTGACTCGCTTATCCTCAACCAATCTGGGGTCCCAGGTGCGCATCCTCAACCCGAAGAGAGACGGAGACGGGGACGAGGCCGGAGAGCTTGCGTGCAGAAGCGGTTCGACGCATGCTGTAATTAGAGGAAGCCAGACCTGGCCCATACTTCGGCGCAGTGTCCTTTGCCGTCTGGCTTACTTTGCGAAAGCAATTTTACTGAGCAATATGCAACAGTAGACCCGTCCAGAACCCTTGGCTTGCCATGCCTCGCTACTGCCGTGGCTTCGAGGATCCATCTGGAATCGGAAGTAGACCATGCATCTTCTCGCAAGATGGTAGAGGTGGACCTGCTCAGTCCAGCAGAAAGAGCTGCGCATTGTGCAGTCTAGAAAACCTACAACTCGCTCTGGATTCCCGCATAGCAAAAGGCAATTTGGTCAGACAGCTCAAGCAGTGGCGCCGAAACGGATCGCCGACATACGAAGCGGCGTTTGGAATGGGGTCGCTGTGTGTGCTATCTACCAGCGAACAGTATGGCTTGCGCGCAAAGGCTGGACAGCCTCCGAAGTTCAAGCCATCATGGAGCTGGCTGCACAAGAAGTCACCCCGCCTGAAGCATTTCTTGCTGGGTCGGCCAATCCTGCGGGCGAACCCATCCATGAGCAGTAGCAGCCGCCAATATGTAAAAGCTGCATCAAGCCCACGCAGTGGTATCGGAAGCTGGCGTCTTCTCTCTGCTTATGTGGGATGCCGCAAAGCTGCACAGCGCATTGCTGCTGCGACAAAGAAGGATGCACGAGGTTCATTTTGGCAAGGGAAGAAGGCAATGCTGAGGGTCTACCGCCGAAGATGGTGGCTAGCTCGGAGGAGACTGAAGCGAAGGTATTCTGCGCTGATGGTGAGGACGGAGAAGCCTTTTCTGAGCTACAAAGCCGCGAAGTGGGCAATTGAGGAGAACATTCTACAAGCTGGCTTTCGAGTTCAGATTTCACGGCAGAACCACCCGCAGTGGAAATTCTTGACTGAAACCGGCAGCCTCCTATTCTTCCAAAGCTTGAATGAAAGCTTGGGTCTCGCACAGAAACAATTGGCGACTGCGACGTGCTCCGTCAACAATGCACTGGGCAGACAAGCATGTGACATCACTCTGCAGGGAGCCCAAGACCTGTTGAAGGCACGTGGTTATGAGCATGATTGGTGCACATTTTTGAGACAGGGCGGCAGGATACTGTCTCCTTTGGTCGTGGACTGCGCCCTGGAAAAGAGCGGCTTCAAGTTGCAGCATTGTCAAAACCTGGAGGTCTGGCCAGCTGGAGCACAGAGTATTCTACAGATTCGCGGTGACCGGAACTCTTGCCATGAGCGCTGGGTCGCTCTCATATCTTGTCATAGCCGAATCTATTTGTTGGATTGCTTCCAAGACGAGCCTGAGCCCACCGTCAATTGTCAGCTAGGCGTGCAACCTTGCGACACATACGCAGTAATCCGGCTTTGATTCTAAACGTTTCACCAACACGGACCTGGCTCATCTTGCAGACAACAGCCGGTTCATTCCACTTCTAGTTCAATGCACTTGACTCGGCACGACTCACGCAAAAGGTCTTGCTTTGTTGATGCGACTGTAACGAAGGCTCGGAATTCGATTGACAACTGGTGCCCTCGCGCAGGAAACGATTCCCATCAGGAGAGCGAGCACATGCATTGGCAGGCGACTCAGACTGAACGCTTAAACTTGTCAGGGGTTTCTGCGTCGACCACTTCGACCGAGCACTTTCTAGACGTTGGCCAACCTTACGCTGGAGGTCAATCAACAGAGCAAGCAATTTCGATAAACCAACCCAGGCGACCGTACCGACCCAGTGAAGTTAAGGAGGCCAGCCCGAGAGCCCAGCCCAAACAGCCCAAAGCCCAGCCCAGCCGCCCAGCCCAGCCCAGCCCAGAGCCCAGCCCAGAGCCCAGCCCAGCAGCCCCCAGCCCCAGCCCAGCCCAGCCCACAGCCCAGCCCAGCCCAGCCCAGCGCAGCCCAGCCAGCCAGCCCAGCCCAGCCCAGCCCACCCCAGCCCCCCCCCAGCCATCGGCCAACCTTTGGTTCGTAAACGAGGGTGGAACTTGCGAAACGAGTTCAAGCGCACCAGCGGCCCCACCTTTTGGCAGGATGGTCGATCTTGTCTTGGGCGGTCGGCCAACCCTAGACGACTTGCCACGGACCCAAAAACATGGAAGCAGTCGAGAAAACTCCTGGGGCACCGGCCAACCTTCCGTTCTTGTGCAAGAGGTGGAAGGTTGGCCGGTGCCCCAAAAAGTTATTGGGACCCAAACCCTTAACAATTTCTATAAACCCTAAACCCTAAACCCTCAAGAAAGTGATAAATAGAAATTGCTTGTCCTTGTTTGTAACCACCGCTAAGGCCCAGCATTTCGGATAAAACTGGCGTTAGCTTCTTGATAATCCAATTTCGCACAACCACAACTTCAACCATTAACTCAGCCCAACCAACTCAAAACAGCCACCCGATCAAAAACGGAACAAGCTTCTTGATAAACCAATTTCTCCATAACCTCCAACCCAGGCCCACTTTCCAATCCCCCAAATCCAGGTCCAAGCACCAGGCCCTCCAAGCCCAGGCCCCAGACCCCAGGCTCCCAGGCCCACCCCAAATCCAAGCTTCGAAATCCAGCCCCAAGCCCAGTCCCAAATCCAGGCTCTAGACCCCAAATCCAGGCCCACCCCAAATCCAGGCCCAATCCCAAATCCAGGCCCCAGGCCCCAAATCCAGGCCCCAGCCCCAGGCTCCAGACCCCCAAATCCAAGCCCCCAAATCCAGGGTTCAGACCCCAAATCCAAGCTCCAGTCACAATTCCAGGCCAGGCCCCAACTCCAGGCCCCATGCCCAAATCCAGGCTCCAGACCCCAAATCCAGTCCCAAATCCAAAATCCAGGCTCCAGACCCCAAATCCAGGCTCAGTCCCAAATCCAGGCACCAGGCCCCAAATCCAGCCCCCGAAATTGACCAGGCCCCAGGCCCCAAATCCAGGTTCAAATCCAGGCCACGAAAGGCCAGGAGCAGGCCACGAAAGGCTAGGAGCAGGCCACGAAAGGCCAGGAGCAGGCCACGAAAGGCCAGGAGCAGGCCACGAAAGGCCAGGAGCAGGCCACGAAAGGCCAAGAGCAGGCCACGAAAGGCCAAGAGCAGGCCACGAAAGGCCAGGAGCAGGCCACGAAAGGCCAGGAGCAGGCCACGAAAGGCCAGGAGCAGGCCACGAAAGGCTAGGAGCAGGCCACGAAAGGCAGGAGCAGGCCACGAAAGGCCAGGAGCAGGCCACGAAAGGCCAGGAGCAGGCCACGAAAGGCCAGGAGCAGGCCACGAAAGGCCAGGAGCAGGCCACGAAAGGCCAGGAGCAGGCCACGAAAGGCCAGGAGCAGGCCACGAAAGGCCAGGAGCAGGCCACGAAAGGCCAGGAGCAGGCCACGAAAGGCCAGGAGCAGGCCACGAAAGGCCAGGCAGCACGAAAGCCAGGAGCAGGCCACGAAAGGCCAGGAGCAGGCCACGAAAGGCCAGGAGCAGGCCACGAAAGGCCAGGAGCAGGCCACGAAAGGCCAGGAGCAGGCCACGAAAGGCCAGGAGCAGGCCACGAAGGCCAGGAGCAGGCCACGAAAGGCCAGGAGCAGGCCACGAAAGGCCAGGAGCAGGCCACGAAAGGCCAAGAGCAGGCCACGAAAGGAGCAGGCCACGAAAGGCCAGGAGCAGGCCACGAAAGGCCAGGAGCAGGCCACGAAAGGCCAGGAGCAGGCCACGAAAGGCTAGGAGCAGGCCACGAAAAGCTAGGAGCAGGCCACGAAAGGCCAGGAGCAGGCCACGAAAGGCCAGGAGCAGGCCACGAAAGGCCAGGAGCAGGCCACGAAAGGCAGGAGCAGGCCACGAAAGGCCAGGAGCAGGCCACGAAAGGCCAGGAGCAGGCCACGAAAGGCCAGGAGCAGGCCACGAAAGGCCAGGAGCAGGCCACGAAAGGCCAGGAGCAAGCCACGAAAGGCCAGGAGCAGGCCACGAAAGGCCAGGAGCAGGCCACACGAAAGGCCAGGAGCAGGCACACGAAAGGCCAGGAGCAGGCCACGAAAGGCCAGGAGCAGGCCACGAAAGGCCAGGAGCAGGCCACGAAAGGCCAGGAGCAGGCCACGAAAGGCCAGGAGCAGGCCACGAAAGGCCAAGAGCAGGCCCCCCCCCCCCCCTAGCCCCAGCCCCAGGACGGTCAAAACGTCTCGCTCAAAAGTTTCGCTCGAAACGTTTCGCAGCCCCCAACAAATTTGAAAGACCAGCCCCAGCCTCCAGCCTAAACCCTACGCGTTTGCTGTTGACACCGAGTACATACGTTTTCACGTGAACTTGTTTATGCGACTTGAAAGTCACAATGATGCTACTGTTATCTGCAACTTTTGCACTGAACCAATTTCGTGGCCGCCCCACCCCCCCCCCCCGTAGCCTCAACCTCAGGCGGTCAAAACGTCTCGTCCAAAAGTTTCGACTCGTCTACTCGTCCCTGCTCACGTGATCCTGGGCATCCTACATCAACTTCGCGATGACGATCCCAGTAACTACCACTGTTGCACGCCACCAATTTCGCGGCCGCCCCCCCCCCCTCCCTGTCTTTCTCTCCCGGCGTTTGCTGTTGACACCGAGTACACTGCAACTTTTGCACTGAACCAATTTCGTGGCCGCCCCCCCCCCTCCCCCCGGGGCCCCAGCCTCAGGACAGTCAAAACGTCTCGCTCAAAAGTTTCGGTCGAAACGTTTCGCAGCCCCCCAGCGAATCCGAAAACATGGTTCGCAAAAAAAAACTTTCGTTCAAAACATTTCGTTCAAAACGTTTCGGTCAAAAAGTTTCGTTCAAAACGTTTCGTTCAAAACGTTTCGCCCAAAACGTTATTGGGACCCAAACCCTTAACAATTTCTATAAACCCTAAACCCTAACCCTAAAACCCTCTCCCAAATTGGGTATTTACACCCTGGGACACATTTTTTTCGGCACGGACCCCCCAATGTTGAGCCAATTTTTTCGGCAGGACCCCCCAAAGGCTGAGGTCAAATTTTTCGGCCAGGGGAAACCCATGTGAGCCAATTTTTGTCGGGCAGGACCCCCCAATGTGATGCCCCAAGTTTGTTTTTTTTCGGGCAGGACCCCCCAAGGTTGAGGCCATTTTCGGCAGGACCCCCAGGTTGAGCAATTTTTCGGCCAGGGACCCCCCAAGTTGAGCCAATTTTTCGGCAGGAACACAATGTTGAGCCAATTTTTCGCAGGACCCCCAAATGTTGAGCCCCAATTTTCGGCATGGGACCCCTCCAATGTTGAGCCCGTTTCGGCAGGACCCCACCATGGTTGAGCCAGTTTTTCGCAGGGAACCACAAATGTTGAGCCACTTTTTTTTTTTTTTTTTTTTTTTTTCGGCAGGACCCCCCAATGTTGAGCCAATTTTTCGGCAGGACCCCCCAATGTTGAGCCAATTTTTCGGCAGGACCCCCCAATGTTGAGCCAGTTTTTCGGCAGGACCCCCCAATGTTGGGCCAGTTTTTCGGCAGGACCTCCCCAATGTTGAGCCAGTTTTTCGGCAGGACCCCCAATGTTGAGCCAGTTTTTCGGCAGGACTCCCAATGTTGAGATCGAGTTGTAGGGTTTGAAGTTTGATGTCGTCTGAGGGTAACGAAAAAAACGTTCTAACTCTTATGTTTTGGGATTCTTTGGGTGGGTGGGTATTCTTCCAAGTTCTTACTAGCGAACTTGACTAGAGATTGCTCGACCAGAGCTGCTGAACCCTAAACCCTAAACCCTAAACCCTAAACCCTAAACCCTAAACCCTAAACCCTCAAGAAAATGATAAATAGAAATTGCTTGTCCTTGTTTGTAACCACCGCTAAGGCCCAGCATTTCGGATAAAACTGGCGTTAGCTTCTTGATAATCCAATTTCGCGCAACCACAACCTCAACCATTAACTCAACCCAGCCCAACTCAAAACAGCCACCCGATCAAAAACGGAACAAACTTCTTGATAAACCAATTTCTTCATAACCTCCAACCCAGGCCCACCTTCCAATCCCCCAAATCCAGGTCCCAAACCCCAAATCCAGAATCCAGGTCCAGCCCCAAATCCAGGCACCAGGCCCTCCAAGCCCAGGCCAGGTCCCCAGGCCCACCCCAAATCCAAGCTTCAAAATCCAGCCCCGAATCCAGGCCCAGTCTCAAATCCAGACCCCAGGCCGCAGGCTCCAGACCCCAAATGGCCCCAAATCCAGGCCCCAGACCCCAAATCCAGGCCCAGTCCCAAATCCAGGCTCCAGACCCCAAATCCAGGCCCACCCCAAATCCAGGCCCAGTCCCAAATCCAGGCCCCAGACCCCAAATCCAGGCTCCAGTAGCATTTCGGATAAAACTGGCGTTAGCTTCTTGATAATCCAATTTCGCACAACCACAACCTCAACCATTAACTCAGCCCAGCCAACTCAAAACAGCCACCCGATCAAAAACGGAACAAGCTTCTTGATAAACCAATTTCTCCATAACCTCCAACCCAGGCCCACCTTCCAATCCCCCAAATCCAGGTCCCAAACCCCAAATCCTGAATCCAGATCCAGCCCCAAATCCAGGCACCAGCCCTCCAAGCCCAGGCCCCAGACCCCAGGCACACGCCAAATCCAATCCAGGCTCCCCCAAATCCAGGCCCCAGATCCCAAATCCACACCCCCACTCCCAAATCCAGGCCCCCTAAATCCAGTCCCAAGTCCAGGCGCTCCACACCCCAAATCCAGGCCCACCCCAAATCGGCCAGGCCAAAATCCAGGCCCCAGGCACCAAATCCAGGCCCCAAATCCAAGCCAGCGCCTGGATTTGGGATTGGGCCTCGATTTGGGGTGGGCCTGGATTTGGGGGGGGCCTAGATTTGGGGTCTGGAGCCTGGATTTGGGGCCTGGGGCCTGGATTTTGGGTCTGAATTTGGGGTCTGGAGCTTGGATTGGGGCCCTCCAAACCCAGGCCCCAGGCCAAACCAGGCCCAGTACCAAATGGCTCCAGATCACCAAATCCAGGCTCCAGACCCCCCGTCCAGGCCCAGTCCCAAAAGCTTCAAATCCAAGCTCCACACCTCATTTGAGGTTCAGTCCCAAATCCACGCGCAAGCCCCAAATCCAGGCTCCAGACCCCAAATCCAGGCCCAGTCCGAAAAGCTTAAGCTCCAGACCCCAAATCGAGGCCCAATCCCAAATCCAGCCCCCAAATCCAGGCTCCAGACCCCAAATCCCAAATCCAGGCCCCAACCCCCAAATCCAGGCTCCAGACCCCAAATCCAGGCCCCAGTCCCAAATCCAGGCCCCAGCCAGACCCAGGCCCCAGACCCCAACAGGCCCCAGGCATCAGGCTCCAGACCACAAATCCAGGCCCACCCCAAATCGAGGCCCAGTCCCAAATCCAGGCCCCCCCAGAGCCCCAGCCCCAAAGCTCCAGCTCCCCCGCTCAGCAAATTTCAAAACATGATTCGCAAAAAAAACGTTTCGTTCAAAACCAGGAGCAGGCCACGAAAGGCCAGGAGCAGGCCACGAAAGGCCAGGAGCAGGCCACACGAAAGGCCAGGAGCAGGCCACGAAAGGCCAGGAGCAGGCCACGAAAGGCCAGGACCAGGCCACGAAAGGCCAGGAGCAGGCCACGAAAGGCCAGGAGCAGGCCACGAAAGGCCAGGAGCAGGCCACGAAAGGCCAGGAGCAGGCCACGAAAGGCCAGGAGCAGGCCACGAAAGGACAGAAGCAGGCCACGAAAGGCCAGGAGCAGGCCACGAAAGGCCAGGAGCAGGCCACGAAAGGCCAGGAGCAGGCCACGAAAGGCCAGGAGCAGGCCACGAAAGGCCAGGAGCAGGCCACGAAAGGCCAGGAGCAGGCCACGAAACATGGTTCGCAAAAAAAAACTTTCGTTCAAAACGTTTCGGTCAAAACGTTTCGGTCAAAAAGTTTCGTTCAAAACGTTTTTGGGACCCAAACCCTTAACAATTTCTATAAACCCTAAACCCTAAACCCTAAACCCTAAACTGAAGCGAGCTGCGGGCGCTGCGAATAGCAGCAGCGAGCGTGCCGAAGCGTCAGTGAGGCTGGCTCCGTAGCTGGCGCGACAGGCGCAGCGAAGGAGCCCCAGCACTGGCTCAGGTGCTGGCGCATGCGACAGGCATGCTAGCCAATCAGAACAATATGACCCTAAACCTCCAACCTCGGAGGTTGGTGCCCCTCTCCCTGCCCTGGCCCTGGGCCTGGCCCGCCTAGTCCTGGTCCTGGGCCTGGTCTTGCCCCTGGCCCAGCGCCTGCCTGGCCTAGGCCTGCCCTGCCTGCCCTGCCTGGCCCTGGCCCTGGCCCTCCCTGGCCCTGCCCTGCCTGGTCCTGGTCTTGACCGCCTGGCTGCCCTGCTTGCCCTGCCTGCCCTTCCCTACCCTTCCCTGCCCTTCTCTGCTTTGGCCTGCTGCTTGCCCTGATTTTGGGCCACCGCCCAAACCTTGACAAAAAACCCTCCCTTTCCTGCCTGTGCTCTGCCCTGAGCTGCCTGCTCTGCCCTGCCCTGCCCCTGCCCTGCCCTGCACTGCCCTGCCCTGCCCTGCCCTGCCCCGCCCTGCCTCTGCACTGCTTGCCCTGATTTTGGGCCACCGCCAGACCAAGCCACAAACCTTGAAAAAAACCCTAAACCCGACAAAGGTCATAGACTGGGTAGGCGGGTAGGGCGAGAGCGTTGAACCTAGGCGCACACCACAACACACGTCTCGCGTGGTGGTGTGCGCGGAGCATCGACACACCCTAAACCCTAAACCCTAAACCCTAAACCCTAAACCCTAAACCCTAAACCCTAAACCCTAAACCCTAAACCCTAAACCCTAAACCCTAAACTGAAGGCCGACCCCCCACCGCAGCGAATGGGGTCGGCCGCAGCAGGCGGACCGGAAGGCGCCTTCCGGACCGTAGGCGATGGCCGAAAGGCAAGCCGTAGGTCCTGGACCTCAGGTCCACGCGGCTCCTACTGTCAGCCTATAAAGTAATAACCCTAAACCTTGGTGCAAACCGGCCGGGGACCCCTGGATTCCTCCTTTCTGGGCCCCGGTAAACCTTAGTGCAAATGGCCGGGCACCCTTGGATTCCTCCTTGCTGCCTTTAAAGAGCCTTAAATTAAAGACCCGGAACCGAAAATTAAGGACCCGGAGCTTAAAATTAAGGACAGGAACCGAAAATTAAGGACCCGGAGCTCAAAATTAAGGACCGGACCTAAAACTAAGGACCCGGAACCTAAAATTAAGGGCCCGGAGCTTAAAATAAGAATTAAAACCTAAAATTGAGGACCCGGAGCCGAACATTAAGGACCCGGAGCTTAAAATTAAGGACCGGACCTAAAATTAAGGACCCGGAGCCGAAAATTAAGGATCCGGAGCTTAAAGTTAAGGGCGCGGAGCTTAAAATTAAGGGCCACGGAGCCTAAAATGACCTAAAATTAAGGACCCGGAATCGAAAAGTAAGGACTCGGAGCTTAAAATTAAGGACCGGACCTAAAATTAAAGTCCCGGAGCCGAAAATTAAGGACCCGGAGCTTAAAATTAAGGACCGGACCTAAAATTAAGGACCCGGAGCATAAAATTAAGGGCCCGGAGCTTAAAATTAAAGGCCAGGACCTCAAATTAAGGACCCGGAGCTAAAAATTAAGAACCCGGAGCTTAAAATTAAGGCCAGACCTAAAATCAAGGACCCGAAGCCCAAAATTCAGGGCCCGAAATTAAGGGCCAGGCTAAAATTAAGGCACCGGAGCTTAAAATAAGGACCGGACCTAAAATTAAGGACCCGGAGCCTAACTTAAAGGCTCGGAGCTTAAAATTAACCGGACCTAATTAAAATTAAGGACCCAGAGCCTAGCGCAGGCCCCCACAAAGCCTGCAGAAGGTCCTCCCCCGTAAACCCTGCAGAGGCCCCAGAGGCCAAAAGCCCACCGAAGCCACCCAGAAGGGTTTTTGGGTCACTTTGGGGCCTGGAGATTGTCACTCTGGGGCCTGGAGATTGTCACTTGGGGGCCTGGAGATTGTCACTTTGCGCCTGGAGATTGTCACTTTGGCGTTGTGGAAAAGTTGGCCTGGTCCGGTTGCAAGTTTTTGCAGGTTTTGCGAGGTTCTTAAAGGCTCAGAATGGTTTTGAAAAGTTTTGAATGGTTTCTGTGGCTGTTTCAATAGGTTTTAAGCAGTTTTGAAGGTGGGCAAAAAGGTGTCCAGAAGGTTTCCAGAAGGCCGCGCAGCCCCCACAAAGCCTGCAGAAGGTCCTCCCCCGTAAACCCTGCAAAGGCCCCAGAGGCCACAAGCCCACCGAAGCCACCCAGAAGGCCCTTTGGGTCACTTTGGGGCCTGGAGATTGTCACTTTGGGGCCTGGAGATTGTCACTTTGCGCCTGGAGATTGTCACTTTGGCGTTGTGGAAAAGTTGGCTTGGTCTGGTTGCCGAACCATATAAGCCCCCCTTGCTAGGGGGGGTTGGGGGGGTAGACAACCCTACCTAAACTTAAAGGCTCGGAGCTTAAAATTAACCGGACCTAATTAAAATTAAGGACCCAGAGCCTAGCGCAGGCCCCCACAAAGCCTGCAGAAGGTCCTCCCCCGTAAACCCTGCAGAGGCCCCAGAGGCCACAAGCCCACCGAAGCCACCCAGCAGGGTTTTTGGGTCACTTTGGGGCCTGGAGATTGTCACTTTGGGGCCTGGAGATTGTCACTTGGGGGCCTGGAGATTGTCACTTTGCGCCTGGAGATTGTCACTTTGGCGTTGTGGAAAAGTTGGCCTGGTCCGGTTGCAAGTTTTTGCAGGTTTTGCGAGGTTCTTAAAGGCTCAGAATGGTTTTTAAAAGTTTTATCTGGTTTTTGTAGCTGTTTCAATAGGTTTTAAGTAGTTTTGAAGGTGGGCAAAAAGGTGTCCAGAAGGTTTCCAGAAGGCCGCGCAGCCCCCACAAAGCATGCAGAAGGTCCTCCCCCGTAACCCTGCAAAGGCCCCAGAGGCCACAAGCCCACCGAATCCACCCAGAAGGCCGTTTGGGTGACTTTAGGGCCTGGAGATTGTCACTTGGGGGCCTGGAGATTGTCACTTTGCGCCTGGAGATTGTCACTTTGGCGTTGTGGAAAAGTTGTTTGTTGTTGTTGCCAAACCATATAAGCCCCCCTTGCTAGGGGGGGTTGAGGGGGTAGACAACCCTAAACCCGTTCAAGGTTTGAAATTAGGGTGGGAGGGCGGGCATTGCAGCTCATGCGCCGACCCCAACCACTTCATGGAGGGGTCGACAGCGCACTCGCAGCGAAAACCCTAAACCTAAACCCTAAACCCTAAACCCTCTCTCTCAAATGAGTATTTAAATGTTGAGCCATTTTTTCGGCACGGACCCCCCAATGTTGAGCCAATTTTTCGGCAGGACCCCCCAATGCTGAGCCAATTTTTCGGCAGGAACCCCAATGTTGAGCCAATTTTTCGGCAGGACCCCCCAATGTTGAGCCATTTTTCGGCAGGACCCCCCAATGTTGAGCCAATTTTTCGGCAGGACCCCCCAATGTTGAGCCAATTTTTCGGCAGGACCCCCCAATGTTGAGCCAATTTTTCGGCAGGCCCCCAATGTTGAGCCAATTTTTCGGCAGGACCCCCCAATGTTGAGCCAATTTTTCGCAGGACCCACCAATGACCCCCCAATGTTGAGCCAGTTTTTCGGCAGGACCCCCCAATGTTGTTGCAGCCAGCCAATTTTTCGGCGGACCCCCCATGTTGGCCACCGGCAGGACCCAATGTTGAGGCCAGTTTTTCGGCAGGACCCCCCGTCCCACCAGTGTTGCACCAGGTTTTCGTCAGGACCCCAGGGTTTGGGCTTTAGGGTTTAGGGCCTAGGGTTTGGGCTTTAGGGTTTAGGGCCTAGGGTTTGGCCTTTAGGGTTTAGGGCCTAGGGTTTGGGCTATAGGGTTTAGGGCCTAGGACTTTGAGGTTTAGGGTTTAGCGCTTGGGCTTTAGGGTTTAGGGCCTAGGGTTTGGGCTTTAGGGTTTAGGGCCTAGGGTTTGGCTTTAGGGTTTAGGGCCTAGGGTTTGGTTTTGGGCCTAGGGTTTTGGGCTTTAGGGTTTAGGGCCTAGGGCTTTAGGGTTAGGGTTTAGCGCTTGGGCTTTAGCTTTAGGGTTAGGGTTTAGCGCTTGGGCTTTAGGGTTTAGGGCCTAGGATTTGGCCTTTAGGGTTTAAGGCCTAGGGTTTGTTTGGGCTTTAGGGTTCAGGACCTAGGGTTTGGGCTTTAAGTTTAAGGCCTAGGGTTTGGGCTTTAGGGTTTAGGGCCTAGGGTTTGGGCTTTAGTGTGTCATGCTTCTTGTTGTAAGGCAAAAAAGATGACACATATCCGGCCTGAAATGTGTCATGCTTTTTCTGTAAGGCGGAAAAGATGACACATTTCCGGCTTGAAATGTGTCATGTTTCTTTCTGTAAGGCGGAAACGATGACACTCTGCAAGGCGGAAAAATGACACATTTCCGGCCTGAAATGTGTCATGCTTCTTTCTGTACTGCAGCAATAGAAACATAAGTATATGCTAGAAATCAAGGCGTAGAGTTTGAGGTTTGATGTCGTCTGAGGGTAACGAAAAAATTTTTCTAACTCTTATGTATTGGGATTCTTTGGGTGGGTGGGTAGTCTTCCAGGTTCTTACTAGCGAACTTGACTAGATACTGCTCGACCAGAGCTGCTGAACCCTAAACCCTAAACCCTAAACCCTAAACCCTAAACCCTAAACCCTCAAGAAAATGATAAATAGAAATTGCTTGTCCTTGTTTGTAACCACCGCTAAGGCCCAGCATTTCGGATAAAACTGGCGTTAGCTTCTTGATAATCCAATTTCGCGCAACCACAACCTCAACCATTAACTCAACCCAGCCAACTCAAAACAGCCACCCGATCAAAAACGGAACAAACTTCTTGATAAACCAATTTCTTCATAACCTCCAACCCAGGCCCACCTTCCAATCCCCCAAATCCAGGTCCCAAACCCCAAATCCAGCCCCAAATCCAGGCACCAGGCCCTCCAAGCCCAGGCCAGGTCCCCAGGCCCACCCCAAATCCAAGCTTCAAAATCCAGCCCCGAATCCAGGCCCAGTCTCAAATCCAGGCCCCAGGCCCCAGGCTCCAGACCCCAAATGGCCCCAAATCCAGGCCCCAGACCCCAAATCCAGGCCCAGTCCCAAATCCAGGCTCCAGACCCCAAATCCAGGCCCACCCCAAATCCAGGCCCAGTCCCAAATCCAGGCCCCAGGCCCCAAATCCAGGCTCCAGACCCCAAATAGCATTTCGGATAAAACTGGCGTTAGCTTCTTGATAATCCAATTTCGCACAACCACAACCTCAACCATTAACTCAGCCCAGCCAACTCAAAACAGCCACCCGATCAAAAACGGAACAAGCTTCTTGATAAACCAATTTCTCCATAACCTCCAACCCAGGCCCACCTTCCAATCCCCCAAATCCAGGTCCCAAACCCCAAATCCAGAATCCAGGTCCAGCCCCAAATCCAGGCACCAGCCCTCCAAGCCCAGGCCCCAGACCCCAGGCACACGCCAAATCCAATCCAGGCTCCCCCAAATCCAGGCCCCAGATCCCAAATCCACACCCCCCCTCCCAAATCCAGGCCCCCTAAATCCAGTCCCAAGTCCAGGCGCTCCACACCCCAAATCCAGGCCCACCCCAAATCGGCCAGGCCAAAATCCAGGCCCCAGGCACCAAATCCAGGCCCCAAATCCAAGCCAGCGCCTGGATTTGGGATTGGGCCTCGATTTGGGGTGGGCCTGGATTTGGGGGGGGCCTAGATTTGGGGTCTGGAGCCTGGATTTGGGGCCTGGGGCCTGGATTTTGGGTCTGAATTTGGGGTCTGGAGCTTGGATTGGGGCCCTCCAAACCCAGGCCCCAGGCCAAACCAGGCCCAGTACCAAATGGCTCCAGATCACCAAATCCAGGCTCCAGACCCCCCGTCCAGGCCCAGTCCCAAAAGCTTCAAATCCAAGCTCCACACCTCATTTGAGGTTCAGTCCCAAATCCACGCGCAAGCCCCAAATCCAGGCTCCAGACCCCAAATCCAGGCCCAGTCCGAAAAGCTTAAGCTCCAGACCCCAAATCGAGGCCCAATCCCAAATCCAGCCCCCAAATCCAGGCTCCAGACCCCAAATCCCAAATCCAGGCCCCAACCCCCAAATCCAGGCTCCAGACCCCAAATCCAGGCCCCAGTCCCAAATCCAGGCCCCAGCCAGACCCAGGCCCCAGACCCCAACAGGCCCCAGGCATCAGGCTCCAGACCACAAATCCAGGCCCAACCCAAATCGAGGCCCAGTCCCAAATCCAGGTTGCCCAGAGCCCCAGCCCCAAAGCTCCAGCTCCCCCCCCTCAGCAAATTTCAAAACATGATTCGCAAAAAAAACGTTTCGTTCAAAACCCCAGGCCACGAGGCCAGGAGGCCACGAAAGGCCAGGAGCAGGCCACGAAAGGCCAGGAGCAGGCCACGAAAGGCCAGGAGCAGGCCACGAAAGGCAGGAGCAGGCCACGAAAGGCCAGGAGCAGGCCACGAAAGGCCAGGAGCAGGCCACGAAAGGCCAGGAGCAGGCCACGAAAGGCCAGGAGCAGGCCACGAAAGGCCAGGAGCAGGCCACGAAAGGCCAGGAGCAGGCCACGAAAGGCCATGAGCAGGCCACGAAAGGCCAGGAGCAGGCCACGAAAGGCCAGGAGCAGGCCACGAAAGGCCAGGAGCAGGCCACGAAAGGCCAGGAGCAGGCCACGAAAGGCCAGGAGCAGGCCACGAAAGGCCAGGAGCAGGCCACGAAACATGGTTCGCAAAAAAAAACTTTCGTTCAAAACGTTTCGGTCAAAACGTTTCGGTCAAAAAGTTTCGTTCAAAACGTTTTTGGGACCCAAACCCTTAACAATTTCTATAAACTCAAAAGCTTAAGCCTGAATGCTCAGCTTAAGCCTTATTACGTACAGGAGCGTACTACACCTTGTTCGGGAAGGAAACGAAAGACTTTCTAGTCTGTACGAGGTAAATGGTAATTATAGACATAATTACTACCATTTACTAGTAAGCTCATAACTGATTGCAAGTATTCCGTAATATATAGAGTTATATAGCACCCTAAACCGGTGTTTCTAACCATCGGATCCCTCGAGTGCTCGTGTGTGCCCAAGCAGGTCGGGGCCACATTCTGCAGCAAAACAGGGCCGATCTTTTCGTGCGCCTGCTCTAAACCATCTTTTCCTGCGGCCGCTTTTAGCCACCTACCTCAGCCCTAAACCGGTTTTCTAAATTTAAGTCCCGCTTGTCCTTTTCGGTAAAGGACAACCAGCTCTAAAATCAAGGTTTTCTTCATTTAGTCGCGCTTGTCCTCTTCGGAAAAGGACAACCAGCTCTAAATCCTAGATTTTCTACATTTAGTCGTGCTTGTCCTTTTCGGAAAAGGACAGCCAGCTCTTAAATTCAGATTTTCTACATTTTTGCCTCCGGAAATTTGGAAAATTGCTGGTGATTTTCAAGTGATAAATTCTGTTCATAAAATGTGCCTTTTAGACTACGCCGGCTGCGAATCTCGAGGTGCTCCCCTTTCTTTTCGTGTGGCTGCTCTTATCCGCCTTCCCCATCTCAAACTCCGTCCCTCGGAGCTCGGATCAAAAAATGGACCCTCGAGTGCTCGTGTGTGCCCAAGCAGGTCGGGGCCACATTCTGCAGCAAAACAGGGCCGTTCTTTTCGTGTGTCGGCTCTAAAATCTCAATTTTCTACATTTAGTCGCGCTTGTCCTTTTCGGAAAAGGACAACCAGCTCTAAAATTTAGATTTTCTACATTTAGTCGCGCTTGTCCTTTTCCGAAAAGGACAACCAGCTTTAAAATCTAGATTTTCTACATTTAGTCGCGCTTGTCCTCTTCGGAAAAGGAGAACCAGCTCTAAATCCTAGATTTTCTACATTTAGTCGTGCTTGTCCTTTTCGGAAAAGGACAGCCAGCTCTTAAATTCAGATTTCTACATTTAGTCGCGCTTGTCCTTTTCGGAAAAGGACAACCAGCTCTAAATTTTAGATTTTCCACATTCTGCTTCCAGAATTCTGGAAAATTGCTGGTGATTTTCAAGTGATAAATTCTGTTCATAAAATGTGCCTTTTAGACTACGCCGGCTGCGAATCTCGAGGTGCCCCCCTTTCTTTTCGTGTGGCTGCTCTTAGCCGCCTTCCCCATCCCTAAACTCCGTCCCTCGGAGCTCGGATCAAAAAATGGACCCTCGAGTGCTCGTGTGTGCCCAAGCAGGTCGGGGCCACATTCTGCAGCAAAACAGGGCCATTCTTTTCGTGTGGCTGCTCTTAGCCGCCTTCCCCATCCCTAAACTCCGTCCCTCGGAGCTCAAATCAAAAAATGGACCCTCGAGTGCTCGTGTGTGCCCAAGCAGGTCGGGGCCACATTCTGCAGCAAAACAGGGCCGTTCTTTTCGTGTGGCTGCTCTTAGCCGCCTTCCCAATCCCTAAACTCTGTCCCTCGGAGCTCGGATCAAAAAATGGACCCTCGAGTGCTCGTGTGTGCCCAAGCAGGTCGGGGCCACATTCTGCAGCAAAACAGGGCCGTTCTTTTCGTGTGGCTGCTCTTAGCCGCCTTCCCCATCCCTAAACTCCGTCCCTCGGAGCTCGGATCAAAAAATGGACCCTCGAGTGCTCGTGTGTGCCCAAGCAGGTCGGGGCCACATTCTGCAGCAAAACAGGGTCGTTCTTTTCGTGCGCCTGCTCTTAGCCGCCTTCCCAATCCCTAAACTCCGTCCCTCGGAGCTCGGATCAGAAGATGGACCCTCGAGTGCTCGTGTGTGCCCAAGCAGGTCGGGGCCACATTCTGCAGCAAAACAGGGCCGTTCTTTTCGTGTGCCTGCTCTAAACCATCCGGTGCCTATGGGTGCCCAAAGCGGCCGAAGCCACATTCTGCAGCAAAACACGGCCTTTCTTTTCGTGTGGCTGCTTTAGACTTTGCCTTGACCTTCGGCGATTGGAAAACTGGTGCTGATTTTGGTGTACCAAATTCTGGTCATAAAATATGCTTCTTAATGCAGGGCAGTTGCGAATCTCGAGGTTTCCTCCTTTCTTTTCTTAGAGTTGTCATCGCCGCCGTAACGGTGGAAAGACTGTCCGCCTCCCTGTAGCTGCATGGGTATTTCCTTCGTGTTGGACGCTTAAGGACTTAAGCTAAGGACAAATGCTCCGGGTGGGTTGTGGTGGGATCTATATCGAGGTCCACGGACGTGACGAACTCTCTTACGCAAAAAAACTCTGACGTCCGTCCTACATTCTTTTTACCGCAACAGTTTGGTCGACACACCCTAAACCCTAAACCCTAAACCCTAAACCCTAAACCCTAAACCCTAAACCCTCAAGAAAGTGATAAATAGAAATTGCTTGTCCTTGTTTGTAACCACCGCTAAGGCCCAGCATTTCGGTTAAAACTGGCGTTAGCTTCTTGAAAATCTAATTTCGCACAACCACAACCTCAACCATTAACTCAGCCCAGCCAACTCAAAACAGCCACCCGATCAAAAACGGAACAAGCTTCTTGATAAACCAATTTCCCCATAACCTCCAACCCAGGCCCACTTTCCAATCCCCCAAATCCAGGTCCAAGCACCAGGCCCTCCAAGCCCAGGCCCCAGACCCCAGGCTCCCAGGCCCACCCCAAATCCAAGCTTCGAAATCCAGCCCCAAGCCCAGTCCCAAATCCAGGCTCTAGACCCCAAATCCAGGCCCACCCCAAATCCAGGCCCAATCCCAAATCCAGGCCCCAGGCCCCAAATCCAGGCCCCAGCCCCAGGCTCCAGACCCCCAAATCCAAGCCCCCAAATCCAGGGTTCAGACCCCAAATCCAAGCTCCAGTCACAATTCCAGGCCAGGCCCCAACTCCAGGCCCCATGCCCAAATCCAGGCTCCAGACCCCAAATCCAGTCCCAAATCCAAAATCCAGGCTCCAGACCCCAAATCCAGGCTCAGTCCCAAATCCAGGCACCAGGCCCCAAATCCAGCCCCCAAATTGACCAGGCCCCAGGCCCCAAATCCAGGTTCAAATCCAGGCCACGAAAGGCCAGGAGCAGGCCACGAAAGGCTAGGAGCAGGCCACGAAAGGCCAGGAGCAGGCCACGAAAGGCCAGGAGCAGGCCACGAAAGGCCAGGAGCAGGCCACGAAAGGCCAGGAGCAGGCCACGAAAGGCCAAGAGCAGGCCACGAAAGGGCAAGAGCAGGCCACGAAAGGCCAGGAGCAGGCCACGAAAGGCCAGGAGCAGGCCACGAAAGGCCAGGAGCAGGCCACGAAAGGCTAGGAGCAGGCCACGGCCAGGAGCAGGCCACGAAAGGCCAGGAGCAGGGAAGGCCACGAAAGGCCAGGAGCAGGCCACGAAAGGCCAGGAGCAGGCCACGAAAGGCCAGGAGCAGGCCACGAAAGGCCAGGAGCAGGCCAGGAAAGGCCAGGAGCAGGCCACCAGGAGCAGGCCACGAAAGGCCAGGAGCAGGCCACGAAAGGCCAGGAGCAGGCCACGAAAGGCCAGGAGCAGGCCACGAAAGGCCAGGAGCAGGCCACGAAAGGCCAGGAGCAGGCCACGAAAGGCCAGGAGCAGGCCACGAAAGGCCAGGAGCAGGCCACGAAAGGCCAGGAGCAGGCCACGAAAGGCCAGGAGCAGGCCACGAAAGGCCAGGAGCAGGCCACAGGCCACGAAAGGCCAGGAGCAGGCCACGAAAGGCCAGGAGCAGGCCACGAAAGGCCAGGAGCAGGCCACGAAAGGCCAAGGAGCAGGCCACGAAAGGCCAGGAGCAGGCCACGAAAGGCCAGGAGCAGGCCACGAAAGGCCAGGAGCAGGCCACGAAAGGCCAGGAGCAGGCCACGAAAGGCCAGGAGCAGGCCACGAAAGGCCAGGAGCAGGCCACGAAAGGCCAGGAGCAGGCCACGAAAGGCCAGGAGCAGGCCACGAAAGGCCAGGAGCAGGCCACGAGGAAGGCCAGGAGCAGGCCACGAAAGGCCAGGAGCAGGCCACGAAAGGCCAGGAGCAGGCCACGAAAGGCCAGGAGCAGGCCACGAAAGGCCAGGAGCAGGCCACGAAAGGCCAGGAGCAGGCCACGAAAGGCCAGGAGCAGGCCACGAAAGGCCAGGAGCAGGCCACGAAAGGCCAGGAGCAGGCCACGAAAGGCCAGGAGCAGGCCACGAAAGGCCAGGAGCAGGCCACGAAAGGCCAAGAGCAGGCCCCCCCCCCCCCCCTAGCCCCAGCCCCAGGACGGTCAAAACGTCTCGCTCAAAAGTTTCGCTCGAAACGTTTCGCAGCCCCCAACAAATTTGAAAGACCAGCCCCAGCCTCCAGCCTAAACCCTACGCGTTTGCTGTTGACACCGAGTACATACGTTTTCACGTGAACTTGTTTATGCGACTTGAAAGTCACAATGATGCTACTGTTATCTGCAACTTTTGCACTGAACCAATTTCGTGGCCGCCCCACCCCCCCCCCCCGTAGCCTCAACCTCAGGCGGTCAAAACGTCTCGTCCAAAAGTTTCGACTCGTCTACTCGTCCCTGCTCACGTGATCCTGGGCATCCTACATCAACTTCGCGATGACGATCCCAGTAACTACCACTGTTGCACGCCACCAATTTCGCGGCCGCCCCCCCCCCCTCCCTGTCTTTCTCTCCCGGCGTTTGCTGTTGACACCGAGTACACTGCAACTTTTGCACTGAACCAATTTCGTGGCCGCCCCCCCCCCTCCCCCCGGGGCCCCAGCCTCAGGACAGTCAAAACGTCTCGCTCAAAAGTTTCGGTCGAAACGTTTCGCAGCCCCCCAGCGAATCCGAAAACATGGTTCGCAAAAAAAAACTTTCGTTCAAAACATTTCGTTCAAAACGTTTCGGTCAAAAAGTTTCGTTCAAAACGTTTCGTTCAAAACGTTTCGCCCAAAACGTTATTGGGACCCAAACCCTTAACAATTTCTATAAACCCTAAACCCTCACAAGCTTTCAACGATGTGGAATTGATTGGCACCAAACCCAAGCCAAGCTTTCAAGGATGTGGAATTCATTGGCCCCAAGCCCAAACCAAGCTTTCAACGATGGGGAATGGAATTCATTGGCCCCAAACCCAAGCCAAGCTTTCAACGATATGGAATTCATTGGCCCCAAGCCCAAACCAAGCTTTCAACGATGTGGAGTTCATTGGCCCCAAACCCAAACCAAGCTTTCAACGGTATGGAATTCATTGGCCCCAAACCCAAACCAAGCTTTCAACGGTATGGAATACATTGGCCCCAAACCCAAACCAAGCTTTCAACGATGCGGAATTCATTGGCCCCAGACCCAAACCAAGCTTTCAACGATGTGGGTATTTCATTGGCCCCAAACCCAAACCAAGCTTTCAACGGGCCCCAAACCCAAACCGAGCTTTCAACGATGTGGAATTCATTGGCCCCAAACCCAAACCTAGTTTTCAACGATGTGAAATTCATTGGCCCCAAACCCAAACCAAGCTTTCAACGGTATGGAATTCATTGGCCCCAAACCCAAACCAAGCTGTCAAGGATGTGGAATTCATTGGCCCCAAGCCCAAACCAAGCTTTCAACGATGTGGAATTCATTGGCCCCAAACCCAATCCAAGCTTTCAACGATGTGGAATTCATTGGCCCCAAGCCCAAACCGAGCTTTCAAGCATGTGGAATTCATTGGCCCCAAACCCAAACCAAGCTTTCAACGATGTGGAATTCATTGGCCCCAAACCCAAACCAAGCTTTCAACGATGTGGAATTCATTGGCCCCAAACCCAAACCAAGCTTTCAACGGTATGGAAATCATTGGCCCCAGACCCAAACCAAGCTTTCAACGACGCGGAATTCATTGGTTCCAGACCCAAACCAAGCTTTCAACGATGTAGGTATTTCATTGTCCAAAACCCAAACCAAGCTGTCAACGATGTGGAATTCATTGGCCCCAAGCCCAAACCAAGCTTTCAACTATGTGGAATTCATTGGCGCCAAACCCAAACAAAGCTTTCAACGATGTGGAATTCATTGGCCCCAAACCCAAACCAAGCTTTCAACGATGTGGAATTCATTGGCCCCAAACCCAAACCAAGCTTTCAACGATGTGGGTATTTCATTGGCCCCCATCCCAAACCAAGCTTTCAAGGATGTGGAATTCATTGGCCCCAAACCCAAACCAAGCTTTCAACGATGTGGAATTCATTGGCCCCAAACCCAAACCAAGCTTTCAACGGTATGGAATTCATTGGTCCCAAACCCAAACCAAGCTTTCAACGACGCGGAATTCATTGGTTCCAGACCCTAACCAAGCTTTCAACGATGTGGGTATTTCATTGGCCCCAAACCCAAAACCAAGCTGTCAACGATGTGGAATTCATTGGCCCCAAGCCCAAACCAAGCTTTCAACGATGTGGAATTCATTGGCCTCAAACCCAAACCAAGCTTTCAACGATGTGGAATTCTTTGGCACCAAACCCAAGCCAAGCTTTCAACGATGTGGAATTCATTGGCACCAAACCCAAACCAAGCTTTCAACGATGTGGAATTCATTGGCCCCAAACCCAAACCAAGCTTTCAACGATGTGGAATTCATTGGCCCCAAACCCAAACCAAGCTTTCCACGATGTGGAATTCATTGGCCCCAAACCCAAACCAAGCTTTCAACGATGTGGAATTCATCGGCCCCAAACCCAAACCAAGCTGTCAACGATGTGGAATTCATTGGCCCCAAACCCAAACCAAGCTTTCAACGATGTGGAATTCATTGGCCCCAAACCCAAACCAAGCTCTCAATTCATTGGCCCCAAGCCCAAACCAAGCTTTCAACGATGTGGGTATTCCATTGGCCCCAGACCCAAACCAAGCTTTCAACGGGCCCCAAACCCAAACCAAGCTTTCAACGATCTGGAATTCATTGGCCCCAAACCCAAACCAAGCTTTCAAGGATGTGGAATTCATTGGCCCCGAACCCAAACCAAGCTTTCAACGGTATGGAATTCATTGGCCCCAAGCCCAAACCAAGCTGTCAACGATGTGGAATTCATTGGCCCCCTGCCCAAACCAAGCTTTCAACGATGTGGAATTCATTGGCCCCAAGCCCAAACCAAGCTTTCAGAATTCATTGGCCCCAAGCCCAAACCGAGCTTTCAACGATGTGGAATTCATTGGCCCCAAACCCAAACCTAGCTGTCAACGATGTGGAATTCATTGGCCCCAAACCCAAACCAAGCTTTCAACGATGTGGAATTCATTGGCACCAAACCCAAACCAAGCTTTCAACGATGTGGAATTCATTGGCCCCAAACCCAAACCAAGGTTTCAACGATGTGGAATTCATTGGCCCCAAACCCAAACCAAGCTTTCAACGATGTGGAATTCATTGGCCCCAAACCCAAACCAAGCTTTCAATGGAATTCATTGGCCCCAAACCCAAACCAAGCTTTCAACGATGTAAAATTCATTGGCCCCAAACCCAAACCAAGCTTTCAACGATGCGGAATTCAGTGGCCCCAGACCCAAACCAAGCTTTCAACGATGTGGAATTGATTGGCCCCAAACCCAAACCAAGCTTTCAACGATGTGGAATTCATTTGCCCCAAACCCAAACCAAGCTTTCAACGATGTGGAATTCATTGGCCCCAAACCCAAACCAAGCTTTCAACGATGTGGAATTCATTGGCCCCAAACCCAAACCAAGCTGTCAACGATGTAGAATTCATTGGCCCCAAGCCCAAACCAAGCTTTCAACGATGTGGAATTCATTGGCCCCAAGCCCAAACCGAGCTTTCAACGATGTGGAATTCATTGGCCCCAAACCCAAACCTAGCTGTCAACGATGTGGAATTCATTGGCCCCAAGCCCAAACCGAGCTTTCAACGTTGGAGGACTCATTGGCCCCAAACCCAAACCAAGCTGTCAACGATGTGGAATTCATTGGCCCCAAACCCAAACCAAGCTGTCAACGATGTGGAATTCATTGGCCCCAAACCCAAACCAAGCTTTCAACGATGTGGAATTCATTGGCCCCAAACCCAAACCAAGCTCTCAACGATGTGGAATTCATTGGCCCCAAGCCCAAGCCAAGCTTTCAACGATGTGGAATTCATTGGCCCCAAACCCAAGCCAAGCTTTCAACGATGTGGAATTCATTGGCTCCAAACCCAAACCAAGCTTTCAACGATGTGGAATTCATTGGCCCCCAACCCAAACCAAGCTTTCAACGATGTGGAATTCATTGGCCCCAAACCCAAACCAAGTTTTTAACGATGTGGAATTCATTGGCCCCAAACCCAAACCAAGATTTCAATTCATTGGCCCCAAACCCAAACCAAGCTTTCAACGATGTCGAATTCATTGGCCCAAAACCCAAACCAAGCTTTCAACGATGCGGAATTCATTGGCCCCAGACCCAAACCAAGCTTTCAACGATGTGGAATTCATTGGCCCCAAACCCGAACCAAGCTTTCAACGGTATGGAATTCATTGGCCCCAAACCCAAACCAAGCTGTCACCGATGTGGAATTCATTGGCCCCAAGCCCAAACCAAGTTTTCAACGATGTGGAATTCATTGGCCCCAAACCCCAACCAAGCTTTCAATTCATGGGCCCCAAGCCCAAACCGAGCTTTCAACGATGTGGAATTCATTGGCCCCAAACCCAAACCAAGCTGTCAACGATGTGGAATTCATTGGCCCCAAACCCAAACCAAGCCTTCAAGGATGTGGAATTCATTGGCCCCAAACCCAAACCAAGCTTTCAACGATGTGGAATTCATTGGCCCCACACCCAAACCAAGCTTTCACCGATGTGGAATTCATTGGCCCCAAACCCAAACCAAGCTTTCAGGGATGTGGAATTCATTGGCCCCAAGCCCAAACCAAGCTTTCAACGATGTGGAGTTCATTGGCCCCAAGCCCAAATCAAGCTTTCAACGATGTGCAATTCATTGGCCCCAAGCCCAAACCAAGCTTTCAACGATGTGGAATTCATTGGCCCCAAACCCAAACCAAGCTTTCAACGATGTGGAATTCATTGGCTCCAAACCCAAACCAAGCTTTCACGATGTGGAATTCATTGGCCCCAAACCCAAACCAAGCTTTCAACGATGTGGAATTCATTGGCCCCAAACCCAAACCAAGCTTTCAAGGATGTGGAATTCATTGGCCCCAAACCCAAACCAAGCTTTCAACGATGTGGAATTCATTGGCCCCAAACCCAAACCAAGCTTTCAACGATGT